TGTGTTCCACCACCATCAGCACTACTACTAATAATAACAATAATGCCGATATAGTAATTAATATCATAGCTAAAAAGTTGAAGTGATAACCATAACAGCAAAGAGTAATAATTAAAGCAATAACACAATGACAATCAAATTCTGGCATTTATGAAGAATGCGGGGCCAAGGAATTCTAGTGATATTTACAATCCCTGCCGATGTTTGCGCATCTGAGCTTGCCAAAGAGCCTGAAATGAGAAAACACTGGCAGGGACAAAACTTCCTCAAAACTCCTAAAATTCTTGCATCTATGGGGAGCGCGGGGGGCACGGAATTCTGGGTAAAATTTGATCCCAGCCAATGTTTTCGCACCCGATGTTGCTAAATTGCTGCCAAGCTCGAATTTCCGCAAAATTCCTGAAGCCTGAAATGCGAAAACACCGGCAGGGATCAAATTCCCCAAAATTCCTAAAATCCTGCCATCTATGGGGAGTGCCGGGGCTCTAATTGCTCAGATTTGGGGAATTTGGTGAAAATTTGATCCCAGCCCCGATGTTTTCGTATGTCAGGCTTCAGGAATTTTGGGGAAATTTGATCCCTGCCGATGTTTTCGCATCCGAGGCTGTACAGAAAGCAGGTTCGGCTGGATCATGGGGCTGGGGAGTGAGCATATATATATATATATGTAAAAAAAAAAATATATATATATATATATACACCAGCCACCACGACAACCTGCAGTGTCAAGCCTGGGCGAGCGGCCCTATCTTGTGTTGAACCCCTGCTATACAACCGATTGCAACTGCCTGAGACGGCAAAACCCACTGCCACTCCACCACAGCAGAATGAGACGAATGCAATGCTTTTGAGTGGCTCCATCTGAAACACGAAGCTTCGAAGCCCTGTATCTGCCCTGGAAGGGAATCACTGCTACTCAAAGTACTTGAAGCTGCCCTCAACGAAGGCCCGGCAGGGGAATTCAAGTTGCCTCCCGCTCTCTTTGTGCCTCCTGCTGCTGCTGAGCCTGAGTCGACGGAACTGTGACCACTGCCCCGCAGAGATTTGAACGAAGGACAATCCACATGTCAGCCAGGCCGCAAGGCTGCGCAGCTCGAAGTAGCGGCTAAGACCTGCTTGCTTTCCAGGATTTGTGCAGCACATGTAGTCACTAGGTTTTCGGGTCCGCAGTCCACCTCAAACTTGGCAATGCCTATCTAGAGGGTTACAGTCCCAGAGTCGCTTGATGCAGTATCCAGGGCGGAGGCCTTCGATGAACGACAATCAACTCGCACTAGCTATGAGGGTGCGACGACTAGTTTCAACTGGGCTTCTTTTCAAAATAGCTGTAGCATGATTCACGAAACGAGATGGCCTTTCTTTGGCTGTATCTGCCCTCTCTCATCGATCAACTTAACGAACCACATGACAATGAAAGGACTCAGGCCTGTTTCAAGCGCAACCTGAATGTAGGGGCCAAAACTTTAGCAAGGTTCGGCCTGCGTTTCCGTTAAAGCATTAGGGCATAATCTACCCCCGAAAAGATGTGCCAATTATCAAGGTCCCTAGGAAGACCTGGCCCGAAATGTCGAATCACCATCTTCGACACAACCACTCTCAAGCCAAGAGTCCTGGTGAGATTGGGTTTGGGGATACTTCAAGTATTGTATAAAGTCTTAATATCGGCATTTGTACTGGTCGGGTCGTGGCAACTAGCATCTCCTTCGTCCCAACTTTCAAACGAAGCACCCAATATTGACTAGCCATTTCCAGCGGCAAGGGGCCGCTTACGACCACGGGCTGATTTTCAACGTGTTGGCGGCAAAGCTCTGGGCCTGAACATAGCAAAGGTTTTGGCAGGTTTTGGCATTTTATAACAGACTTTATTTAACAAGTAGCTGTACTATGTCAGAGGGTTTTCTCGAGTAGGTATAACTGTATGTATAGTATATCATAGTGAACAACATGTAAATTCTTCGAAAGCTCGTGTTGCAGTTCAGAGAGTCCAAGCAGAAGTTCGGGCAGCAAAGCTCCAGTACCACTGAGTCTTTACATGTGTAAGTCGCATCAGAGGACTACACCTCGCCTGATCGTGCGTTGGTGGGTTCGATGGCAAATCACAGGGGATGTGCAAAGTACAACTACTCGCTTGCGCTCGGAGGCAACCGGACGAACGAGGAATGAGGAGCGGCTGGCAAAGCTTATATCAAAACATTCTGCCAATATCAGGGGCCTTAGTACATCGAACTTAGCATGCGGAAGGACCCTCCAAGTAGATATTGATGATTATTCAGGCCCCTACGTTGGACGAATCTCCCTGCTTCCTCTGCCGCCCAGGCTCGAAAAGTGCAGTCGGCAAACTCCGCATGCTCCTTCTCAGCGTGTCGCCGTAGCAAGAGCTCAGCTCTTCGGTCCTGGCGTGTGCCCAGCAAGCTGCGAGCCAAGGAGGAGTTTTGCGTTTCAGGTTTTGGGATTTAGGTTAGGTTTGATTTGTGGTTGTTTCAGCACATTAGCTCGGTGACTCACTAATATTAATGTAATGGTACAAGTACTCCTCTCTGCTCATGCCCCCATGACAGTAGACCAAGGGAAGGGATTCCAATCGGTCTCTCCACCCGTCCTGCTGTTGCTGGATGCTGGCCTTAGTTGGCAAGCAAATGCCTGAGCTGCGCCATGCTACGGTGGCCAATGTCCACTGTCAGAATCCATGCATGAAGCCCTTGAAAAGGGTTCTGATTGATTCTGGAAGATGCATCCACCGAACACTGCGCGCCCGAAGCTACCAAGCTGGCAGATAATTTTGGATGCCCAGTACGACCTCTACAGCCTTGACCGCGTGTCGGAACGCCTTAGCCAAGGGTTCTTCTGGTGCTCTTTCCAATTTGAGCACATGTGTGAGTGTGTGCACCCCGTTTAGCTGTAACTTGCAGCAAACTGGGCGTGAACATCTTGTCTTGTCGTAGCCTTGCAAAAACCTGTACCTTTGTCCTTGCATCTGCACACCATAGCCGTTTCCTACTGAAGAAACCGTTGCTTCATCTAGCTGCAGATCACTTCACGACCTCGAACCTGATGCGAACAGCAGTATAAGATACATTGCTAGCCAGAAGGAGGCATTTGCTTCCCGAACTACCCGAAGACAGGTGCAAGAGCTCACTGAATGCGAGCACGCAGACAAACCTTCTGCTTCAGTGTCAGCTGAGATGCCATGATGTCGGCCTGAGGGTAGGGTCCACAACACGCAAAAGAACTAGGGGACATCTACGGATGCAGGTCACACCTGATTAAAGCCGCTGCTTGAGGTCCAAATTCATCACATCAAGAGATCCAGGAACCTTTCCGCATTGAACCGCAAGTAACTATATGAATAACTATACTTATACGGTTTTTGGCTCCCACTTGGCACCGTCAGCGAGCTGACACTGCATGGCAGGTCACATGTCGGATTACTTATACTGTCTTACATTATAATTCATGATGTTATATTACGTCCTATTTTGTTATGTTCTAAGTGTGTGTGTGTGTGTATGTGTATATAAATATATATATATATATATATATATATTTATATGCAGTTATCATAATATAAGGGTTGTGATGCAAACTCGGAAGCATTGCAAGCACCAGCCCCACCCTCGCCGGGACGGAAACATGAGACTCGTCACGGAATATGAAGCGAGAAGCGGACCTGCCACCCAGCAAAGCCTCCGGCAAAAGCAACCCTGACCCTTTCATCCCCTACCTATAGTCTCCATTGTAGTTCCTAAACCTTATAAAGTCCTTAGTATAGATCTGGTTAAACCAAAAACAGGAACTACAATGGAGACTATAGGTAAACCCTAAACGTTAGACCGCCAGCTTGGGAGGTCCTTAATAATACATCAACTAACGCTTGTGCCCTGCAGCGGGGAGCCCTCCAGCCAAAAAAACCCTGAAACAGTCTAGCGTAGGGCCCAGAACAAATAGCCGAGGGTTTTGGGGTGTACTATGCCATAATTGCTATAATTATAACAAGGAGCCCCAACAATGGTCTAGGTAACTAAGGCCCGCGATACTGCCCTAAGACCTAAGCACTGAGACGCTGTCGGTAAAGGGCATTGGGGTATTTCTCAACATTCGGGTCTCTTTTCGGGTTCCCAATATAGCACGGCACCCTTTTAACAAGGACCCTACTGGGGACCCTAATTAATTCAGAGAACTACCGTTTAAGTTTAGGAAGGTGAGGCGATGAGGTGGACTCCGGATAGACACGCGCGCAAGGCAGCTTCTACCACCTACCTGCAGGTCACACGTACACCCAGGGTGCTCTCCGAGTGCAAACATCGATCAGTAGAACAACTCCCACTACTGACTTTTCAAGCACCCGCAGCAATAAACGGTCTCAGAAACATGCCGAAGGCCTATCCTAATTCACCGAAAGGCTTGCCGTAAGGCTCACATTGAGGGCCGGACCGGCTTCGTGTAGTGCGCACGGACGTGCGAATAGAGTCGGCTCCCTCTGCGGTCCAGTTGTGGCTGAAAACTGTTCCTGGGATTCACTGCTCGGGGCTCGGGGGTTCAGCAGCTCGGAGGTTGGAGCTTCAGATAGTCGAAAAAGTAATCCCAATATCACAGTCCAAAGTAATGTACTTCAGCATCGGCACGTTGCATCTCTCCTTTCCTCTTTAACTTTCAAGCTCCCTGAAAGTCGAGCCGCTCGGCACGAGCCGGAGAGGCCTCGCGCAGTTTCTCTTTGGCCACTGCATCGGCGTAGAGGCGGTCGTAAACGCCTGCAGTCCGAAGTTACGAAGGTTGTTGCCTTCCATTGTCCCGACTCAGCCTGCTGAAGCTGTATCTATTTGGCAGGATATTTCGAGTGCTCTTTCCCCAAGGGCCTCGGCCCAAACAGCCCGGAATATAATGAAACTGACCAATGCAAAGCATGTACGGCAATCCCGGGAGCAACAGGTGACTAGCACAGTACAGTATACGGTACACGAAATCATGCGGTGTATGTGACCTTTTCATCAACACAATTTGACAATGCCACCTACAAGTAACAGGCATTGTCGCACCTGTACAGCGCTTAGAAATCCGATGCGACTTGTTTTCAGCCAAGCTGCCACCGTCTGCCGAGGCGCGCATCGCACGCGCGCTGTTTATCCTGAGCTTGAGTCTCGGATTTGTTGACAAAGTGCTCTGGAACCCATGCACACCTGCAGAGACAGATCAACAAACAAATAAGATCAAATAAGTTGGGGGTCGATACACGCGTGTCAGGCTCATCGAATGTTCGTCACGGTCCACAAACGGTTTAGAGGCAATCCGCACTCCAGATCTGTGGCCACATGCAGGATGTGAAACTGGGCCTGGTATGCCTTTGCCACAACTATAGTTGTAGCATACCGGGGCATGCTGGTATATGTGACGCGAACCCTTGCATCCTGATTTTGACGCGAGCTTGAACGTACATGTACCTGGACCGAAATCCGCAGAATGACCCGAAGCCTGAAACGGTCACGTCTGTCTCAACTCCCCAAAGCCAAAGCGCGAAGCCGAGGAAATTATAACCATAGCAGCAGCCAGGTTGCAGTGTCGACTGCTGGCTGACCGCGGGAGCAAAGGTGCAATCCCTGCGAGCAGAAATGACAAGCAACAGGCCTAGCAGGCCCAACAGCAAAGCTGCCAAAAGGGCACAGCAGCTAACGAAGCACAAAGTATCCGTCCGCACAACCTGGCCACCAGCCAGACTTGAGTGCTGTGCAAATCCAGTTGGAGCGACTCCGACAATGCGCCGACAGCCATGCACAGTGTGACAGCGGGTCCTGAACATGGATTTCTGCATCTCGCTCCGGACGAGCTGCCTTCGGGCCACCTTAGAATAAAAGAACCCGGACGCAGCCCTGACAGCGACTTCAACTTGCTGACATTGATACATTGATCCGCTTCTCAAGCACAGCAGCAACAAGAACGTGAAGAAGACAGAGGGCGACAAACAAAGCACCGACATCAGATTCGCACGCTTTGCTGTCAGGAGCACATCGCGCACGGCCAACCGCTCGATGCGCTCTTCCAGGGACTCACCAAGCCTCAACAGTCAAGTCTTCACGAGTCGTTGCACAAGCTGTGCCCTAAATCCGTAATTAGAGAGTGGAAAAAGAAGATGTGTCGTAGTTCATCACGGCAGCAGTCTTGCAACGACTGCTATTTCTTGTGCATGCGGTGCGGATGTATTCCAATGCTGCTTGATTCGATCGCTTGACAAATGCAACAACTTCATCAATTATGCGGTTCTCGTGATGTGCTGTCGTGTCCCGCGGATTCCTGACCGGAGGCTACAGTTGCAGAAGAAAGGGGCGTCTGTCGTGGTTCTGTGTTGTGACACTTTGGTGGCAAGATTTCGGAACATCCAGCAGTGCTTGTCAAGTTCGATGTCAAAACATGTCAAAACGTTCATGGCTTCCTGCTTGCGTGCAACAGAAGATCGCGCTGACGCTCAGGCGCCACTCTTTAGGCAAGAGGCATCTCTGGATTCCGGGCTCGCAGGTGCTCGCTGCCTTCGGTGATCGCAGGCCTGCGGGCATCACTCACTGAGCAGCCAGAACCCTGCTGGCCCGGGCCAGAATGTAATATTTTACAAATTCTACTATATTATGACATATTATATTCTACGAGATGATATGATACGAGTACTATATGATACAACCTGTTCCGTTAATCCGTCGAGAATCTGACTATCAGGCCCGATGTTGCGCATGTACAGTCGAACTCCTCGTGATGAGTTTGGAAGTAACCGCTCCAGTGTCACTTGCTAAACGGATCCGATGTCAAGGTTCTGCAGATGCACGCCAGGCATGTGTGATACCTATACCTATACCTGAATATATATATATATATGTGTATATATATATATATAAATACATAGTTTGTGTGTGTTTATACATCTACATACATACAGTTACAAATGCAAAATGCACATCAACATGCACGCTCTTGCATGTCAGTGTGTCATGCATGTATACATGCATGTAAAAATGCTAATTCGGGGCTACCAGTATCAGGAAGTGCGCAATTGGGACTTGGACAAGAGCAGTGGCCTCTTCATCACCAGGCGCCACATGGCGACCCAAAGTAACAGGATTAGACAACATGACTAATTAAACTAGAAGACGAGTGGCCCGAAAGCATCATTAGCCATGAGTTTTGGAGCTATGTAATTGGAGCTATGTAACGTCACGGGGTCGAGTGTATAAAGTCTTAGATGGCAGTGCGTGGAGTCAAGTACATAGAGTC